CATTTCTTGGCAACACACAAAGGCCAATCACCATATATACAAGAGCCAGGGTATGCCTTCTTTCACCGTGTTCGCTTGAGCGTGGGCTGAAAATAATAGCTGAAAAGCGAGCTGAGGATCTCAATTTTTACAGTGGCTCTTACCGTCATCCGTTCAGAAGGGGTTAACGTCAATGGTCCACATAATTTTGCCATTATTATAAATCAACATAAAACCTTTTTAAAGAAATCAGGAAAAATCGAAAGCCATTCCCTGAGACACCCAATTTAACAATCGTTAAGATGGTAGTACTGTTGCTAAGTGATGTGGCTCCAAAATCAGCACCTTGATTGGTCCACAAAAATGTTGGGGCATTCCAGACATTGCAACTGGCCAATCTACACATGGAGCAAGACCCAAGACAATATCTTGTTGATTGCCTTTGTAAAGATTTCGTGGTTTCCTTGATCACTGTTTAGTCTTTCCTCGAGACCCCAGTGCTGAATGGCAGATCGTGCCGAATGGGTCTTCTTTAGGGTAAGCGTTCTGTTTAGCAAGTCCAAAATCGTGGAAGGGTGCTCTACAAAAATAATCACTGACGCCTGGAACTGAGACTGATAGCCACGCGCCCGCATGAAGTTCCCAAGTGTATAGGTTGAAAATGTAAAAGGCAAAATGGAGCCCGAAAACTGGTTTTAAAAGGGCTTGGTTACTAAGTCTTGTAGTGCTCCTCAGTAAATTTTCGTGCTGCAAACAAACTGCCGAACCGAACTAAAAATCATCAAACATGGCACTTTCAAACCAAACCAAACTTGATAAAAAAGCCAACACACCACGAAAAGTAGATAAAGAGTTCGACGAATTTGACACCGCAAACCTTGGCAAACGTGTGTGTTCAGACATACGATGGCCTATGTAAGAACTTTGACGGAGTGGCAGCATGACTGTACCAGCCGTATGTTTTTCCTATGACAATCAGGCTGATTTGGCTGCCGAGTATGCCATTATCCACAAGAAAAAAATGCTTTATGTTTTGGCTTCTGTAGCTTCGTTTTAATATCTTTGTGCATTGTGGCACAGTTTTCCTCTCTTGGGCCCTAAAACTGAAAACCACCTGTCATTATTCCATAAATGCCAAGATTCTGTTAAATTATTATACCTTTTGAGGGGAGCACCCTGAGATTTCCTTTTTAGTAGGATGAGGGTAAAGATACTACATTGGCTTACGCCACTGTCTAATGTTATAGTTTACTGTAAATCCATAACCTTCCACACTTATTCAGCATAAAACCATAATTTTCAAAGAAAGCGTTTGGATATGATTCAAGTATGGACATTACACACTAGTGATTCGTAACAATTATGATCAGCAAATCATGCAGTCATGACGCAATGCTTTTTTTTACAAAATCCTCTTTATAGCTCAGGCCGGGAAGGAGATAATTGTGGGGCAAGCATTCAGAGTTCATCATCGATATCCCATTAAGTTATACTTAAAAAAATATTCAGACCACCATTTGAAGTTGACAGGAAATTGTATGATTTGAAATAAAACAGACACGAGGATTCTGCCTCTCAACAACGAGGAGGTTGAAATTTACCAATGCTTTGAGCGCCAGGCTTTGGTTCGGTTCAGTTCGCGGTCAGACATGCATAGACATGCACATGTACGTACGCACATGTGCATGCACGTGGCCAAAGGGGCGATTTACTTATAACGGCATATTGTTATTTGAGATTTTGGAACAACTACCAAGAATCTTGAAAATGCTAACACAATGTATACGTACAAAAGTTTGGCCAAACGAAAGACAAGTTTATAGGCCACCTCGCTCACAAAATCTGGTTGCGCGCTGGTCCGCCCGGTAAAATTGGCTTCTCTCCGGGGTTGCCTTTAGATCGAGCACGAGTCCTACTACGATCAACATGCATCAAATCAAACATTGTCTTTTACGGCTATTTATGACATCATTGGCCTTATATGGAACGTGAAGGTAGAGCTTTTGGAGATTGACATACATGATGTTTGTCTGAATATACACAAGCATAATCGGATGTAGTGAGAATATAGCATTTTTGAGCTGCAGAAAAGCCGTAGCTGGCATGTTCTCTGTTAATCATTAGTGAATTCTCACCACGTGCGTTTTACAACAATCATGTGACGCTGGCCTGAAGTACTACATGGCTGTACATCGTTGATGTGATTGGAGAAGAGACAAACGGAAGACAGGTCTACACCGTCTGGAGTCAAATCAATTGTTATCTAAAATGAAGTATGTCTGCCACCTCTGGATCAATACTCAATTATCTGCGATGTGAATATAATGTTCATGGCACAATCTTAATCGGCCGAAAAAAGTCTCTGAGCTGGCTGGCGCATCAACACAGTCGACCATGCTTTCAAGCATGATTACCGTGTTCCTTGGGTTCTTATACCTAATTCAGTGCAGTTTTGGGGACAGAGAAAAAACAGAGATTGCGCACTCATGTCATGGGAAAGTCCCAACTAAACGGCTGTTCAATGTACGATGGAATTGTTTTATGGTGGAAGAATGAAACAACAAAAGCTTTCGAATCCGAATGGAAACTTAAACCATAAACGTACTAATCCAGACGTTCATACAATAAATCACGTTTTGAAATGTCGATAGCAAATTGTAAAATAAACTTCATAAAACAGGGATTGAATTCAGCACCCGCATTGTGCCTGCTGTTAGGGGAAAATTGGTGGTCTCGTTGTTGGTGGGACACGCTCACTGACTGTTTTCCAACGACTTTACTATCTGAGGCAATCTAGTGGCAGCGTGAACAAGAAATTTTGCATGCTCGTACAAGTTTGCTGACGATCAAGGATAAAAAAATGTTGTTTCCCCGCAGTGACGAGAAATATATTACTGCTATTAGTTATCTATGTTTGGTATAAAATTAAGCTGCTCCTTTCATGGTCAATTGCAGGCCGAAAGTAGCTTGGTAGTGATTTTCTATCCAAGCCGGGAATCCGTGGAATATCGGGCGTATTCATAAGACTGGTAATTTACATAAACCTTGCATATTGCGTTCCGTCTGTGGGCGCGCCTGGTTGTCAAGGGGTCTTTTGTTTGGCGGGGACTGGCATGCTCTCCATGATTGTGCGGGATGTCCGCGGCATGAAATGGTCAGTCAATTTCACGATGCCACCTTAGGGTTAATGGGACAGCCTTGTTAAAATGAAATCACTTAACACTATCTATTGCCTAAATCTTTTTTTTCTTGACTTCATCACTGTAGTTTAAAATTCAACAGCGTTTATGTAAGTAACCCTAACCCCCAAGGGTGTATGTAAAATCGTATTGACATTGGAGGATTTGAGACTGTTAGGGTTAAGGTTGGGGGCGATTTTTACAAAGGCCTTTTCAAGAATTGCTTTTTCAAAAGAAGAGCTTCTTGTTCAATATAAATGTTGGCTGAGAAAGTAAAATGCTCAAACACACTACCTTAAACGCTCTAGATATCACACAAGCACCAAGCATATGCTGCTTGTCTGTTTGCACAGGGGCAAAGATTAACTTCCTCCAGTAAATGTGCAATGCAAGTTTCACAATAAAGAGGCTGGCTCAAGAATGAGTCATTCCCAACATAAATTGCACAAGAGCGTCCACTGGGGAGGTGCAGAGGGCCTGGTGAACTAAGTCAATTGCTGTCAGCAGGGAATGGTTGATCAATTGAAGCAAGACCCTGCCTTATTTATAAACACATGCTTGTCAATTTTTCTTCCAGAAAAATTGTTTAGACAAAATTGGCAATATTTAAATATTGTAACCTACACTAAAGGGATGACAACCCCTAGCCTTGTTGCCAGCGCCCTTTACATAGCCCCTGAAATCCATCACTTCACAGGAGCCAAGTATTTCCAACCACTGTGGACCATCATACCCCAAGTGAAGTCATGAGGGCCATACTTTATACCTTTCGACATTCTGCTTAATCAGCCAGTAAGTCCTGGTTGATTTATGGCAGTGTCACAGTTCTGACCTTTGCACTTTAATTGCCCAGGGCTCCCATAATCTGTTTATTCACTAATTTATTCCACGCTGTTCTGACCCAGCATGCTCCATCACACTCCCCTTGGTACTCATTCAAGCCTGAAGTAACATATTGCATAAACATTTTATTCTTGTCAGATACATTACAAGTCAGATAAAACGAATGATTTTTATGTATGAATGGCAGAATAAGCTCACAAAATCTACAGAGGTGTGAAACTATGGGATCTCACGAGCAAGAATGACATTGAAACCACTTAAACACTGCTACACTTTCAAAATAAGGCTGGAGCTAACATGCCCTATCAAAATGCTCTGTTCGGTGTTCCTACCTTGCGAGCAGCAGCCTTCTTCCACCGCCTCTCCTGGACAAAGTCCGTGGCCAGCCACTGGGCCTCCTCCAGCAGGTAGTCCCAGTGGGTCTTATTCCTGGGAGGCTCCTGGACCTTGGGCAGGCGCCGGGCTGACCACAGACCTTCCTTGCGCAGCTCAGCAATTCTCTGCATCACTTGGGCTTCCTACAGGGAAAGTGGTTTTACGGTAAACAAAAAAATTCAGTTGACTATCCCATTTAAAATACCAACTTTTAGAAAAAACCTAAAACAGTGTGACAAATTTCATCAACTTGCCGTTTCCATTTAATGATTTTCTTAACCTGACAAATATATTTATATGTAAGTCTTGGTACACTTGTGTGGGCTAGCAGTGTATGTCAATTTCATTCAAAGTGCATTTGCAGACCCATTACCCCTTCGGCAGAGACTCAAAATAGAATGACTTGGGTGACCCATTTATCGTAAAGTTAGCACAGCACTCTTTGAAGCATATAGTTACTGGCAACTGGGAAGTCAAATACAGTGCTGTATTACTGAACTGATAAGATATAGCTGAGCAATTGATAGTGTTCCCGGGCTTCATGCTCATTTTCTAGACAGTCCTTGAAGACTACAAAAAGCTGCAACATGTTTGACACAGATTACACTTCTTGCCTGTTTAGCTCGTTCCACTATCATCTCCTGTGACCCGATGGTGTAGTCGTACACGGCAGATAATGAGTGCTGCCTGGTGGCTAGCCGCTGGTGGGCATTGGGCGAGATGGGAGACTTGGGCAGCTTCTGGGGCAGCGCCGACGGAGGGGCCGAACCGCCCGAGTGATGGCGCCTTGGCGAGCCACCAGCCACGGTCGATGTGGTGTCGGCGCTGGCCGGCGTGCTGACGGTGAGGGGTCGGGAGATGGGCAACTTGAGCTGGTGCAGCGAATGCTTGGCAGCTGGTGGAATAAGTTACAAAGTAAAATATCTTTACATTGGCCACCCTGAGGCTGAAAATATCAAGCAGTGGGCAACGCGTCCCATTCTTTTGACAGGTACTGTTGGCAGTCCTTCTTGCCGGAATCTAACGGATTCATCACTAAACATCATGACGTCAGTCATGGTCATAGCCAGTATCTTGATCTAAACACTGTATTATAATCCAAGGTGCAATCTTACACATTAACTGGCAGGGGACTAAAAATAGACTAACATCGTATACTGCGCAAAATCATGTTCAGAAACTTTATCTTACCCAAGTGATAATGAAGAATGTAGTCTTACACACCAACAAGCAGGAGACTGGATGTAGCTGAACCACTTAGACTGTATATTAGTATATTCATTTAACTTTGTGAGTAGGTTATAGGCCAAGATGTAGTCTTCTCCACCAACTATGGGTGACTGGATGGTAACAAACCCTGTCCTGAGGACCAGCAACTGAAAGCCAAATCCAGGAAAGCAGTCCTTACCTGGTGGAGATTTGGGCTCCCTGCGCGCATGTGGAATGCTGAGCGACGCCCGCCCATGAGACGACCCGCCTCCCATGGCAGAGGCCGTGGTGCTTGGGACACGGCTTGAAGTACCCTGCTGCTGCTGTGGTTGGCTGGCGGCATGTTGCTTGTGTTGCTGCTGCTGTTTGTGCAATAGTGATGGCTGGCTGCCAGGTAATGCTATACATGAAAGGAGCAGATGAAAATAAAAGCCAGGAACGTGTTATGTGCCACCGCTGAAAATGAAATGACTTTCCAACTGTCCACTGCAAAATGCACTGGCCAAAGCGTATGAATATCGGAAATGAGTAATTCAAGTTGTGCATGGAATGTTGCACAACCCGAGAATGAGTCATTTCACGTTGATCTCTGAAGTAACATACGGGCCAGCAGATGGGAGGAAATCACTTGCCGACCCCTGCCAAGCACTTCAGTGCAGGAAAGCAATCCCCACTTACATTGCCCACTGGGGAACAAGGATATCAAACGTGCAAGTCTGGACTCAGGAACACAATGCATGGGAATGTAAATCAGCAGAACAAAACACTCGTGAGATGGACACCCATAAATTGGATAGTTCTTCCCTTCAGTCAGTGCAGCTGTTCAAGGATCCGTCCGCGGCAGACAAAACATCCCACGATATCCTTACGCAAGCATACAGACGTGTTGCAAGTAAAATACAATGGCAGCTCAAGGTAAACCTGATCCTTGAGAGTACCATTTCAAAAATACAGCAGCTCCAGGGTTTGACGGTCTCACCTGGTATGGGAGTGACTGCCTTGGGACTGAGGGTGACGTTGGGCTCGTGTGTTGATGGAAAAGCTAGTGGTTTTCTGTCCGAGGTACTGCTGCCGTCAAGACCTGATGATAAAAACAGAACATTCTGTGATCATCAAAACTAAATCACTGCAACATGTAAATGCTTACTACATAACAAAGCCGGAGTGAGTCACAGTTAGCATGCTGTACAATAGTTGCCGTGTGCACAGTCATGCAATAGCCCTAACAGTCCCAAATCCTATTTCAATATGCCATTCAGATACACCCTTGGGGGGTTAGGGCTAAATAAACAAACCAAACCCTGCGGACAAGAGTTTGACGAGGTGAGTGCCTCCATATATGCCCCACGCATCACACTTGGTCAGCCCTAATATTGACAATAGCATTGTGTTCTGTATCTGACAAAAAATCTCCTCTTCTTGCACAACTAAATGGTGTTGATTTAAAGAGTAAACAGGACCACAACGATGTCAAAGAACCATTGACTTCAAAAGTTACTGACGCAACACACAGTAGTTGACAGTGAAGATGGCTGGGTTATGGAATACCATATCATTCAAATATTGCAAAATCATGTTTTTAGACTGAAGCACCAACTTGTGGTCAGAGACTATGTATTATGGCCAAGGAGTTTAATTGAAATTTGGGTGAATCCATCGTTCATCTGGTACCAGTGATGTTGCAACTTAAACCAAGCCCATTTTACTTGGTGAGGCAATGGAAGCATTGAAAACCATGAGGTTGCATCAGTAGAGTCAAATTGACAAAATGTTGAGAAAAAAAGAAATAGCTTGTCTTTACCAGCTTGGCTGTAGGTCCGTTTCCGATCTACATCAGGGCTTGCAGTGGGCAGGGCACCAGGGAAACTCTTCCGCAATTCCTTGGCTTTGAGCTGGGATGACAAGGCTGACACAGCAGGAGGAAGCTGTGTAGAAATGGCTACCGGTGTCCCTAGTGGTATATTGCTGCCACTGTTCGTGATCACCTTCACCTATGGGGAAACACAAGCAGGGCTCGAAATTAACGGGCGCAGGTAGCTAAAATGCGCCTGTTGGCCTCAGAAAAGCACCCGTAAATCAGAATGACGGGCGCAAGTACGTTTGATTTCATGTACCTGAACATATTTACCGTTTGTTTCTACTTTTGTCACGAAAAAATACTCTAACTTTTTTATTTGACTTCGGATCAGCATTGTATGGAACCATAGCAAGGTAAAATTTTGTTTACGATGTCACCGAGCGCACACCGCAGTCTCGCATGCAATGCATGCACATACATCAATGTCTACACACACGCATACCCGCGGCCAGTGTCACGACTGTATGGAAACTGGCCCCTCGTGCATAAATTCAAGCCAAAAGAGTGGATTCGGCTTAGACTTCAGTTTCGCTGGTTCCAGTCATGCTCCAAAACAGCTGGAACCAACGAGATCAAAGTCTCAGTCTAATCCTCTCGTTTCAAAAACGCTCAATTGTAGCAGTTAGTTCCCTTTTATGTCTCTGTGCATATGCATGTGCAAGGGTTGGTGTTAAACAGGCATCAAGTGGGGAGGACTGGATAAGCACCATGTTTTTGGACACTGGTTGGCTTACAAACCCTAAATCCCTTGGATGTGTGTAAAATCATGTAGAAATCAGAACGTTCGGCCCTGTTCTGGTCAACCGACCCATGCTGAAGTGTACAGCTGTGTCATGTTATGCACTGCATCAACTATTCCTCACAGGAATATCAAATTGCACTTTTGTGCTGTTCAACAACTGTGCCTCACAGTTTCATAAGCATAATTGTACGGTAAACCAAGTGTAGTGAAGAGGACTGCAAAAAAGAGCCTGTCTCTTTTGTGCTGGCAAACAACTGTGTACACGTTGAACCTGGTCACTGAAGAGAGTGACTTCAACAGAATTAATGGGGAAAAAGTATTGAATTTGGAGATTGGAAAACGTAGGGGTTTCATAAAAATATTCTACATTACCTCATCATTGATAGTTATTTCTTCTTCTTGCCCTTCTAGTTTGTGACTAGCCATGTAGTTATGAAGTGGGGCATTTGGTCGCTTCTTCCATAGCAAGAAGTCCATCATATTGTTACCATTCTCCAAGAAGAACAGCTCCGCTAGTTTCTCTTTGTAGCTATCTTGCAGGTCGTGGAGATTCTTCAGTTTGTGCTCGAGCAATCGAGTCCGGAGTTCAGCCACCTCGATGGTGGCAGGGGGACGGTCTGTCTCAGAGGCCATCACTGGGGATTTGCGCATGCGCGATGGACTGGACGGTATAGGGTTTGTCCGTGCTGGGCTGCTTAGACTTCTGTGGTAGGTGCCCCCGCCCGCTGTAGGGCTCTTGCTGTCGGGGGTGCCACGTGTGGGGCTATGGCTGCTCATCATCCGAGCCGTGCCAAAGCCAAGCGGTGGCATGGTTGACCGGGGTGAGCCCTGACCATGATGGTGTATGGTCCCCACAGGCTGGTGGTGGCTGGGCAGAAGCAGGGACTGCATGTGAATTTGCTCTTGCGATATCTGGAGCTCCTCTCCTTGCGGAAATACTTTGGGGGTGTCGTTGAACATGTACGGGTTGGTAGCACTGACGCTGGTGGGTGGGGTGCCGATGTTTACCTGGTGCACGGGAATGCCGGCGGTTGGGTCTATGTAGCTGGGACCCAGCTGCACATTCACCACCTGATTCGCTGTGCCTGCGACCAGTTGGCTCTGAAAGCTCGCCAGCTGCATCAGTGCCTGCTGCCTGACAACATCCTGAGGACTCAGCTGCTGCTGCTGTAGGACAACAGCAGCAGTTGAGCCTTGAGCATGCTGGGCTGGTACTCGTAGGGGTGATGCTGGGGCCGGGCGACCAGTGGTTACAATGTGTGACCCCTGGGCACCGGCGACAGGGTTGACGACGTACTGCGGCACGGGATGTTGAGGGGCGGCATACCCGGACGTGCGTGAGGGACCTTGGGTAAGGTCCACTGATTGCTGGATGGGTTGAGGTTGTTGGGGTTGTGTTGCTTGAGACCCCAGCTTGTGGTAGACCCCACTCTGGCCGTTATTGCCACTGCTTCCCTTTTTCATGGTTACCACAAGCTATCAGGGTCCTACAGAAGAGAAATCCAAGGAAATCAAAAACATCCGAGGTACTGACACGATCCAAGTAAAATGTTTCTCAAAGGGAAAAATGACTTAAGGTCACTATGGTCAGCAGTTTCCAATGGTCTCTGCATTTACATTTCAGATATCGAACTGAATAAGATTACTACAACAACTTAAAACCCAACCATGTGTCCTTACCTAAAACAGAAACTTGCTTATGGGCAACAAACCTACATGTATTTTCATCTCACCTTCAATAACACCTCAGACTACACGTGAACAGCTTAAGGATACTACAGAAGAATTCTTGTCAACAGAGGACATTCAAGCAGATTTTTTGTCAACACTTAAAAGATTGAACGTCCACACTGACCTTGGAAAACAAGGCGTTCAAATTCATAAGGGTTTTTGTTTTTTACATTTGTTTGTACAACAATACAAAATATCCAAAATGGCCAACAGCATCCAAAAAAAGATGCCCATACACCATCTGGATTCCGATCAAAGCTTTTGGGAAAATTTGGAGAACACCAAATTCCTTGACATGAAATCTACATTTTGGGCAGTTTACGTTTACAGTAGTAAGGTGTTTAATTCTGTGGGGATAGGTCTGGTGGGCCCATAACAGCTGGCTTTTGCATTGGGTTTGGCATACCTCAGAATAACAAAGTCCAACAGCCTCTGTGCACAAAGTCCCATATGGGTCTTTAACTTTGTGTGACTGGGGAAGGTTACATGTAGGGCCAGCAACCCTTGGGGCGTTAGGGTTAATGAATGGTCCCTGGGCTTGTGCGCATACTACAGACTACTGCACAGCACATTTCTGTATGCAACGGCACTCGCTTGGAACCGAGAGATACCCTGTAGTTGTGAGTCCTATTATTCGCAAGGTAAGCAGAGACTGGCTTGTATGCTGTTTGCCCAAGACCTGGTAAGACAGTAAGCTACATCTCATTGCTTAATATTAATTAACCCTAACCATCCTCCTTCAAAATCCTCCGGGTGGTTTTGGAGGGTTGAGGCTGCATGGCAAAATTGGGATGTATTGTCTCAAGGTTGTGCGTTAGACCTTGTGTTATGTTCAGCCATGAATTAACTCATGCCCATATTATCTGTGAAATCCTCTATACTTCTCCAGGATATCATTCACACTGCCTCAACGTAATGAGAGGAATTGTTGGACGATTTATCCTAGCCAAAAGTGCCCAGTCAGTTAAGGTTCAAGTGAGCCAGTTATGGCCCTATGGTTGCAATCCATCCCAGATTTTTACACACTATGAAATAAATCCCTAGGCCACGATATGGCCAGAGGGCTTACGGACTGGTGAAGTGAAGGAATTGCTAAGGTGAGGGTTAACATTTCATTTTTATTGATGGCTCAAAGATTAAAACTGACATAATCCTCAGCACTCGTCAAAACAGACAACAGTATAACATACAGGTATGAACTGTATGTTGTTTTATTGGCCTCTAAGTTACCTATTAATGCATACATCGAAGAAGTGAACATTCTTTTAACACAGGCCATTTTGAGGGGAAAAAGACAGTGCATGTAAAAGCCACAAATTTAAAACCAACACTGAGATGGCCAAGAAATGGTAAAAAATATGTTGAACATATTGTACACCTGTTTGAATTTTAATGCCCACAATACACATGTTCAGGAAATATTTCCATCATTTGGCCGCATACAAATATGAAACTAATTGCATGACTCTTTACTTTAAACAGTTTTGTACATGTTAAGCCATATCTGCACTGGGG